ACAGGGCCAGGGTGCGTACACTCCAGCGTCTCCACGTCAGTGTCTTCGAAGGCATTGGGGCTTATGCCTCTGTGCAACGGTGATGTAATGGTGTGCCCTGTGTGAAGCATGGTGTTACTGAATCTGGTACAGGCTCTTCTACTTGCGTTCAGGTTGTCTACTCAGGGTCGAGCAAGCGTTTAGTAGCTGTCCACAGTGTTAGTGCATGCAAGTAGAGGGGGATTGCGCGTCCTTGCAAATGGAGTTCCCTTGCAGCGGGAGTCTCTACTAGATGTTCTGGGACTCTGACGGGCTACCTGTCCCCACAATTTCCAGGCCGTTGGGCCGCTGTGCGCAGGACACCCGGAGACTGCTGAGAAGGCGAGCTGCTTGTCGGGAAACTCCATTTCCAGTGGTTTGGCTTTATTGTAGCTCACGATGACCTTCAACTAATGTCGAGGACATTAGTTGAAGGTCATCGTGAGCTACAATAAAGCTAACTAATGTTCAACTAATGTCGAGGACTCTTGTTACGCTTGATAGGACCGTATGCTTGAAATGGACAGGCGCGAACAACGAACCCCATCCCGACAACCGGCCGGCCTGATGCATAGCACTGATTACTGGCAAGAAAATGCATAGAAAATATCTTTAGGTATATCCCCTAGAGCATGAGTTAGGGAATCATCCCTTCCCGTTTCGTATAGTAGAGACTGGTCGGAATTCACCCTGTAGCGTGGTATGTCCGATGCTGGCGCACGCACTTCTAGTTACATTCAAGCTGCCTACTAAGAGCCAAGTACGTGTTTACCGATTATCGATAGGCTTAGTGTATGCAGCAAAAGGGGCAATGGAGCGGTGCATCTGCGGTTGCATTGCAGCATGCGTTGCAGCGAGGTGCGTTGCAACTCATGTCTAGCACACTCCCAGACGCAGGCCTGGCGACCGCAGGCGTAGTGCTCTGGGGTTCAAAAGGGCTAGGGAATCAAACGGGTGAATTCACCGGGACCCTGTTTGAAGCCGAGAAGTCCTGTTTGTAGAATTCAGTTATTATTACTCCAAGATGCAACGGAAGCAATACACCTAACCTAGCTAGTCGAGAGTACGCATATATACTTACGGGGGTGTAGTCCGGTCTAGACACGTCTAGCAACAGACGTGGGGACCGCAACGAGATACAGTGTAGTTAGGAAACCAGGTAAAGGGAACCACAGATCAATCTGAAATGTGTTCCAAGGTAAAAGCGTCAGAAACAAAGTTCTGGTGCGGTTAGAGCCATTTGCCCGATGAGTCGCTTCACGATCCAGGAGGTTGGCTCCCGTGTGCAGAGACCCGCTTCTGCGCCTGGACGGCTGCTGCATGTCGGCTGCAGCTGGTCGACCGTGACTACCGAACATGTCGAGCACCCATATGTGTGATTTTACCATGGTCATCTTTAACTGGAAACCATCGACCAACAAATATGCCCAGATCGCCTGGGAGCTGCAAGGTATGTTAACTGCCTTCGGAGAATGCTTAGTATCTTCGACAATGTCGCTGCTCACAACCTTCCTCGAGAAAGGTTGAGGGATCTCGTTTCAGTCCAGGTGTGCACCTGGGCCGGGACTCAGCCCCATTTCGTGCATTAATCACCCCGCAGTTGCTCTGCCTGCTAGTAGCTCCTTCGTCTTAACTGCCTCTGAGAACTATTCCCCCGATTGCGCCTGCATCTGCTTCTGCTCCTTGGCTGTTAACTGGATCGGACCCGCCGAGACCATGATCTTCCTAAAACCATCACAACGGAGTGCATGCGTCTCTCGTTCGTTTCCTGAAACACCTCTGCGCTGCGGAAAAGTCTCTTCGCGCCGTTTTCCTTTTGACACCTATTCTGTTCTTCTCTCCATAGACGATCTAGTGAATACTCACTACAATCACGGCAACAAAGCCGTGCTCGTTGTGAAATGAGTGAGGGTTGTATGAACAGTGGAAGTGCCTGTGAGTGCTTATTGATGTACATTGAGTATAACATTGGTGAATGCATTAAGCATTCATTATGAAGTGACCATTGGTATGACTATACGAGAGACTGGCATGAGCCTTGGTGCTAAATGTAACGCTTGTTCTCTAGCCTTTATCTGGCCAGAGCCGAGCCGCAATGAAGGGAAAGACTTAAAGCAAGAGTTTTCCAAAAGCAGCTGACCTCCTTCCCCGGTCCTTAGACATCCTTGGCGTTGAGCTCAGGGCCTGGGTGTTGCGGGGAGGAGGCAGCCAGAAATGGGGTTGCAGCACACCCCGCTGCGGCTGGTAGTGCAAGCCAGCCCCACGCGTGCACGTAAGGAAGCTTCAGGGAAACTTCCTTTGCTGGACGCTTTGCCTCTGAACGAACTTGTAGAACGTTTGCAAGCGCTTACACGCAGCGTGCCAGAACCGTCGGAAGGCTCCTGCGCCAACTCTGCGCTAACTCATGCTATACTAAAGGTATTGCAACATGCTACGCCGTCTCCTCTCCCAGCCCAAAGGAAGCAGTGCCTGCTCTAGTGGGGTTGCAGAAGAGAACAATTTTGAAGGAAAAACTGAGAAAAATTACTTCCTTTAGTCTTTGTTGGTTTGTTATGTTCTTGTTTCAGTATGATAGTTATTGCCTGCCAGCTCGTTATAGTTAGCTGTGGCGCTCCATGTGTAGTGCACAGGCGGCACTACAATGGAGCTCGGGCGTGGTCTCCAGAGGTCTAAAATCGCGATTAGGAGTGAATGCTACCCAATATATCAGGCACTAGAACGCATTTAGATGGAAAACCAGCATGATTGGGTAGGGGGGCTCGCCAGTCGGCGCCCAGCTCGGAGGTGGATGCCTTGCTGACGCGGAGACCTTGGATGTAGTGAACAGCTGGCCTACACTGTTACTACGCATGATCCCTAAGCTATTCTGACTAGATGCACACTCTGCATCTAACTACCTAAACACAAAATTCCCTCTGAATACGGTATTAAACACCATAAATAACCCAAACACATTGGAGTTCACATTATCTGTCCCCAAAGGAAAGTCCAGAATAATAGAACTGTCTCTGACCCTCGCTGAGGGTCAGTGCCAGTCAGAGTATCAGCCTCACACCCAGCCGGTGCCGGCTGGTGAGCACTATGATCTTATTATGAATCTTTTCTATCTAAAAGTGTCCTAGCGCCTATAATGTTTATTCCTTTTCATGATACTAGGCCTCTAGAAGCCACACAAGGGATCCATTGTAGTGCCTGTGCACTACATTGGACCCGGCCCTCGGCAAGGGCCGGGCATCAGCTCTATTATTCTGGGTTTTCTTCCGGACAATAATAGGAACTCGATCGTGAAATTCGTTGATTGACTGGGTTTATTAGAGTTTAAAGCGAGAATCGTAGAATAGGAGTTAGACTTTAGCGTGTGCACTGATTCGGTATTGACAGGAAACATACGCAGTTACAGCGTAGGTGTAATGCCTGGGTGCATCTAGCTCATCGCACAGAATCCACTGGAATGCAGCAGTAGGTAGCTATTACGGGCAGGATCCGCAGAACAAACCGTTTCTACTAGTAATTCAAGTAATTTCGTGAACAAATTTCAGAGCAAAATAGTTCTGTCTGCCGGATTTCAGTCCGATCCGTTCGTCCCAGCTTGGCGATCCGTCCGGCCGGTTCCTAGAATCGTGAGGGTACGGGCGCGGGTACGGCCGACCCGCGTTACCGCGGTGACTATACCTCTGCCTCTAGCGAGGTGTCGGCTATCCTCAGCTAACTACCTTGACTCTACGATTTGGTTTACCAAACTTTAAATTTTATNAATTAAATTAAATTAATTATTACAAATTTTAGTCTCATTTTGCCCACTAGATATCTACAACGGTGCAATGTAGTGCCAATGCACTACAACTTCCTCCCTCGGCTGAAACTTTCCTGGTCACTTCTTGAGATTTCCTCGCCCTGTCTTTCCCGTCCCTTTTCCTTTCGCTTTTCTAGCTACTTTTAGTTTTCCCTTTTCCCCACCAACTTTCTTAAATTCCTTGTCTACGGATCCCACACCTTCGACTCCTACCTCTCGGATTGCACACCTCCTGAGATCCGCTTCAGAGTCCGATGTGTTCCTCAGCTATATATATGTCTCGCTGGCTCCTTTAAGCTGTCCTCTGCTATGAGTGGTGCGGCTGCCGGAGGGTGCCGCTCCACTCCTTCGCCCCCCGGCGAGAGAGACGTCGGCGATGAGGCCGATGCTGAGGCGGTATCAGCAGAGCCGAGGGCGGCGTCCTGAAGTCCCCGCTGAGCATTCCTTGCACGCCTGAGATGACATCGCCAAGCACGAAGAAGGGCGGGGCAGTTGGTAAGGTTGGCAGCAGGCTCCCAAATCGCGCGATCCTCGCGAGCACCACGCCATTTGACAATGTATTGGACATCTTCGCCTGAGCTGCGTTGGTCGAGGATATAGTCGACCTCGTAAATATCGGTGGGACTTCCGTCTTGGCTCGTCACCGGTAACCACCCAACAGCTGCTTCTTTGGACTTCATCTGAGGGTCGCGTAGACGGTCGGGGACGAGCTGAGAGACGTGAAATACATTATGACACGCGTACGTCGGCGGAAGCTCGATACGGTAGGCGACCTGGCCGGTTCGTTCCAAGACCGTGGAGGGACCGCGAAACCTAGGCTCGAACTTGGAGCATTGGTTGAGGCCCTGGAGATTACGGATGCTTATCCAGACCCGATTGCCTGGGTTGTACTGCGCATCTCGTCGGTGAGCGTCGGCATAGCGTTTCTGCTGCCACTTCGCCTTAAGAATATGGCTCTGGGCTCGATCACACAGCTGTTGGAATAGTTTCGTCATAGGCGGNCACTTCGCCTTAAGAATATGGCTCTGGGCTCGATCACACAGCTGTTGGAATAGTTTCGTCATAGGCGGGGTCAGGGTTGGCGCGAGATTACCGATGACATCAAGATCTGCTGCTGTGACAGGATTCTGGCCGATCATAACTTCGAACGGACTAAGTTCTGTGGAGGAATGGCTGGTGGTGTTATAGGCGAGCTCGAGCGCCGGTAGCAGGCGCTCCCACTCACGTTCATCCGTCTGAATGTACGTACTGAGCATTTGCTCCAAAGTTCGACTGACCCTCTCTGTTTGACCGTCGGATTGCGGATGATAGGGAGAAGACATTGCGTCTTTGATGTGAAATCGATGACAAAGCTGCTGCCACAACTGGGATTGAAACCGGGGATCACGGTCAGAGATCAAGACATCCGGGAAACCGAGATATCTAAACAGTCTATCCGCCAAGAGTTCGATAGTATCCGCAGTGGACGCCGACTTCTTCGTGGGGATGAAATGCGCCATCCTACTGAGTGAATCGACGATAACGAGTATGCAATCATGTCCACGGGGGGTGAGGGGCAGGTCCGTTATGAAATCAAGACTAACGTGGCTCCAGCGTCGCGAAGGAACAACGGGCGGTTGAAGTAGACCTGCCGGCTTCTGCGACAGTGCCTTGGACGCACGACACTGCACACAGGTCTCAACATACGTAGTTGTGTACGCCCTCTTTCCTGGCCAATAGTACAACTTACTGTGTGATAGAAACGTCTTCCGTTCGCCACGATGTCCAGCGGTGACGTGATCGTGGTGCTGGTAGAGAAGATGGGATAGGAATTCCGGCAATGTAGGAGTACAGATGCGCCAGAGGCCATTTATGCAGA